TTAATTATTTAAATTAAGTTCGATTATGCCATGTATTTACGTGGCAATACACATTTTGTTAAAAACAAAATTGTTTTTATGGTTTTGTGTTCTTAATCATTCTTATTATTCCACAAACATATTTTGGCCCTCTTTCTTGCTTTTTTCTCTTAGAATATATTATGTTTTATAGTAATAATTACTATCTTTTTTTGGTTTGTAACAACAAGAACTATTTAAACTCAACAACTGAAATGATGGATATAAGATATGCAAGGTAAAAACAATGTACAGAAATCAAACTAGAGTCGCGACTTATAAAATGCCCAGTATTATTTTTTAAAAATGTTGGTAAACTGAAGCTACTAAAATTGATTAAAATACACACTGTACATTAATTGTTTTTTACTCTCTTTTGTTTATTTGATAAAGTCTATTTAAATTTTAACTCAAATGAAAAGCCGACACATAAAAAGAAAAATTGGATTTATGGAGTTTCCATATTAACTAAAATTTTTATTCATCATTAGTTTTGATGTATACAAAACTTAAAATGATGTTTGATAAATAAGATAAATTTCATGCTTAAATTCATTTACTAAATATATTTTTTGTTATTTTAACCACAATAACAATATAAAACAGAAATTTTTTCCAATAACATTTAAAAAAACAATTTTGAGATTTTTAGTTTTACCAACATTTTAAAAAAATATTATTTATTTATTCCTTCATTTATATCAAATCAAAAAATAATATTTTAGTGTACAGTTGACCAAGTAATTATCAGTGACCAAATAAATGTCAGAAAGGTGTATTCCCCATTGATTACCTTAAAAATAACAGGTTTTTGAGAAAAAATGAAAAAAAGGTACACCAAAAAATGGTAAAAAACTCAAATCTATTTTTATTATAGTTTCTATCTAAAGTTTTAAAACTATTAAATTTACATCTTTCAATTATTTGGTCTTTTTTTATGTTAACTGTAAATATGATAAGTTTTTGACGAACTTGGATTTATTTTATACTATAGTAATTGAATAATACAAAATTGGTATTTTTCATTCAAAATAATTC